GTATAGTTTAATCCAGGGTATAGGATTGTGGAATGGTCTGGAAGATGATCTTAAAAATGCTAGATGTATAAATTTAAGAGACAGATAAAAGCTAGTTTTCTGAAGCTGTATCGAAAAGTAAAATGAGGAGCTATATGAATTGTTGTTTGAGTTGATGTTTTTATTTTTATTTGTGTTGTTTTGTAAATTATGTTTTGTTTAAATATATTCTGGGGATAAATGGTTATGGTTATTATGGTGAGGGGAGATGGATGTAAAATCCATATGAACGGAGGCCTCCTAAGTGGGCCCATTGATTTTTATTTGTATTTTGTAAATATTCCGGGGATAAAAGGGGCAGACATAAGATTTATTCTTCTTCTGCTACCTTTCATTTTGCTTTGATTTTTGTACTTTATGTCTTTTCTATTGTATGTAGTTATTTTTTAATTAAATGAATTAATTTTTTGAATTGACTTGAGGATAAAATTCTTCAGTGTGTGTATAAGAACAGTGGTTGAAACGATGCTTATAGAGCTAGAATGAGACTTTAGCAACCTGTCCTGACTGATTCCCTGTGCTCTGGGTTTATCAGGACACATCATCACTGTGCTCACAGAGGGGAGGCATCCTGAAGCAGGGCTGGCTGCAGAAAGCCAACATCAACAGCAGTCTGTCTGTCTCCATGAGGGTGAGTCAGCAGTCGTCCTCTGGTCCGTTATTATACTGTATATACTATTATACTGTACTCAGCAWAGTCTTTCAATGGCTGAAATAGAATTTGAAGCACTTAAAAAACACCACCTCTRCTTTATTTGTCTGTTCTGGATTGTTAAAAGTTGTTTGAAATAAATCTGTCCGACTCATTGTCCTCTGTTTGACTTGCAGGTGTTTAAACGGAGGTACTTCTACCTATCGCAGCTCCCTGATGGATCCTACATCCTTAACTCTTACAAAGATGAGAAAAACTTCAGGGAAACCAAGGGCTCCATCTACCTGGATTCCTGCATAGATGTTGTTCAGGTATTTCTCGCTGCTCTGTGTTGTTTTTGTTTGCTGTACATACTTCTCGCCTGTGTTCACTGGGAATTTCCAGCTCTTTGCATAAGCTCCTGTCTGTGTGAGAGTCTTTGTGTTTTCCTCGTCTCACTGCCTTGCCAGAGCTTTGAACTGCTTTTATTGGGGCAGATTTACTGCATTCCACTGAGGGGGGTAGTTGTGAGCCCGGTTTGTCAGAGGGCTGCTGCTGTGGGCCAGCAGTGCTTGTTTAGGTCCGGTCTGACTGCTGAGTTCAAAGAACACACTCAGCAGATCAATAGACTAGTGTATGTCATGTTTTTTTATAATGGTCAAGTATGTTTAGCTACAAAAAGTTCATAAGTTGTGTCATGGTTGACACTGAAAGTGCGACTTTGCCACTGGTTTGTCAAATTCAAAAGGATGATATAAAATATATTTATATATCACAGGTAGTTCTCTGCTCAATACAATTTTTTAAAGGGCCATTATTATGTTTCTCAGGCATATATTTAAATACTATACCATAATAAAGTAACTGTCACCTTTAGTTG